GAATTAATTTTTCGAGTTCCATATAAATCCTGACGTGGTAGTCAAAGTGTTAACTTTTGAAATGAAACTTTCGTCTGGAAAAATATCTTCTTTCCATCTCTCGAGACCGTACACTCTTTCGAAAGTGTTTTAAATTCTTTTTCCAATTTATCTGAAATAATAATTTTCATTACCCACTATTAACCCCTTAACGCTCATATTTTTCGAGTCAACCAACAATGATCAGTTTTCTTTATCGAATTTGTTTCTAAAAATACAATTTTTGTTAATTACAATGTTGTATCTAACGTATAATTCGAAGGAAAACAAACATTATCATCCCTTGAACCAGTGGATCAAACAAATATTATTTTTCAACGCAGACTCAGGCATGAACGTTAAGGGGTTAAAAAATCTCCTCTTTTTGCAACAATTTATACCTGCTTGTAGTTTAAATTTTATTTAAAGAACACTAGAACCTATCTACGGTGTCGGTGGAGTACAAAGAATTGTTTAATACGAGCAAACATTTTCGCGGTTACGCGTCTGAAAGTGTACAAGGCAACGAACTAATTTACATTTAGCTTTCTTTTGCTCTTTCGTGTGTACGAATAATTATTTGCAGTTGCTTTCACGGTCGAGTAATATTAACTGTTCGAATCGCTTCTTTGAACACGCGTAAGTAGAATATACGTGCAACGGTAGACGAAGTGTTACATTTTGCAATGGACGCGTAAACAAGCTGAAATATCTACGTTCCTACAAACGTGGACCAGTAAACAAAACATTCCCCGCTCGTTCCGGGACCCTACCCGAACAGGAATATTTCCCCGGGACCGGTAACGCGTTAACCCTTTGACTCGACAACAGTTTTTATCTGAGGAGCTCCTTTGTCAACAATAATTTACATAAAACAGATATTCAATTAAATTTGCTTGCTCCTCTATTCGTTTCAATTGCCCTATTTTTTACTTGACGTAAATTTCAAATAACAACACTTAAAAGCGTTGGGTAGTGGAGACGCATTCGATTCGTGGGGAGAAGACTTACAACCTTCAGCGACCTGATCGGCCCGCGTGACGGTTCCACCAGAATCGAGAGCGAAAACAAGAGCTACTAGCAAGAAAATTGAAATATAATTTGGTGCGCAAAGGGTTAACGTCGTGGCGGACCGACGATAGGCGAGACTTCTCGCGGAGATCCCGTCTGTTCATCCCCTTTAAAGCGATCTCGCATGCACGCGTTCTCACGAGATACGTATGTAGATACCGCGCGCAACGAGAGAGAAAAACACGCTCGTAGGAGGAAGAGTCCAAAGAGAGAGTGAGAGAGAGAGACGTTGGACGAATGGACAGGGTTACGAGTAAAAAAGAGAGGCGGCTACGTCTGCAACGGTGGGGGGCGAGTGAGGGGGGGTAAGGAGGAGGACGGAGAACCGCGCGATGGATCCTGCAGGGGTTTCTAATTTGGTGCCGCGGCAAAAATCGACACTCCGTCTAGACTACCGGCGCTCTCCGCTTAGCTCGCGTATATATGACACCGCGCGAGAGAAGAAGCTTGCACGAGGATAGACCTGGAGGGAGGGGGGGGGGAGGCCGCAGAGGGGAGAGGGGAACCGTTGGAAGCCCGATGGAGAGAGATAAACCGAGATTTCTATTTATGTATTCCAACGCGGCCCGTCTTTCGCGCTCTCCTTTCATCTCGTTACGTTTTTGCGGCCGTTCCGCTCCCTCTATCAGAACCCTTTGACGCAAAGGGGATCGATCCGGCAGGATTTTCTAACGACCAGAACCTCCTCCCCCCACTCCTTCTCTGGATGGATCACCGTTTCCCGCGGGAAAATCCTAGGCAAAGTTTCCTGCGCGCGTGGCTCGCGATTACGCGCCTTTTTCGAGGATGCGGTTTCCCCGGCTCGCTTTCAGTCGACGGCCACGGAATCCGGGGCTTTTTCGGTAATAGGCAGGATGATTTCGACCTCCTTTGAACCTGGGGCAGTTCGAGCAGCGATCGAGTTGCGATTCCAGCTGGAATTGTCGAATAACAGAACACCTGAGATGGCCATTCGTCATTTTTTGCGAAGTTGGCGCGTAAAATTTAACATTTATCAACCAAATTAGTCTACTATGGAGTCGTAATTAGTTTACTTTCGAAACGGTGCGAAAATCTTTTCTTCGTACAGGTTGCATTAAAGTTTTCTGTGCAAGTTTTGCGGAGAAAGTTCCTTGATTTATGTTTGATCTGAGGGACAGTTCTTCTATCAGTTTGTAGTTTTAAACTGTAAAATAGTCTATTATTGTGGCGAGAAATTGTCAAACTATTCAAACTAGTACCATTTCTCAACTTCGCAATGGAGAGGCGGGGACGGTCTTGATACGATACACCGTCGAATTTACGCTCCCTTTGAGATTTGAAATTTGTCTGTTCGAATTAATTTTCTTCAATATCGTTGAATTTGAGAATTGCTTTAGTTCCATAGTGGAGAGTACTGTCAATCGTATATAAATAAAAAGTTATATAGGAATAGGTCGTGTACTTGCGAGAAAAGTGAAAGTCGAGCGTAGCCCTCTGCTGGCCATCGCTGGAAACTTGCGATCCTAATTCGAATATACCATGCCTCCACACTGTTTTCTTAACCCGAATCCTCGGAGAAAAGATCATTATCCCATATTTTCGATCTATTTCCCCCCGAAATAACTTAATTTCTTCGATAGAAATAAATGCACCATAATCGTAGATAGTTCCAGCGTTAATGAGTAATAAGTTGATTACTTGTATATTTAAACACGAGCTTGAAAAACGAATGAAAAGGGTAAGCTTGAGAGGTTACGCGATGTATCGACTGTTGGCGCGGGTTTCTGTAAACACGCGTACGCGTGGAGAACAGTTCCCGGGGGGTTAAGAGCGTATAAAAAGCGAGTAAAGGTGGGCCGTAAAGAGAAAAACTTGGACTTAATCCTGGACCGCGCAAATTGCATTCCATGCCTCCTCTTCGCTTTCATTACCTTCAACCCCTCGCCCCTGCCCGGTTTCGCCTATGAAAAGGGTACTCGCGCCCTCCGCCATTATGGAGAACGTCTCAATTCTCGCGCCGCATCGATCTGACCGGAGCACGCGAATTAAAAGTGTATGCCGTTGGAAACCACGTTTGAATCCCGTTTCAACGGGGAGGGATCAGTGTTCGCGTAATGGACAATTCGAAAATGGCTCATTCACCGTACTTCTGGATCTATTATAGCTCGAGGGTTCGGTGAACCTGCTTCTTTATGCGATTTTGGAATACTCGAGGGCCAAGAATACGTCAGAGTTACGGTAGAAATTTAAGCTAGTGAAAATCTTGGTAAATTACTGATAGTCGATCGATGTTGTCGAGGGTTCGGTGAAACTATCTCTTGATTTAATTTTTTGGGCATTTATGGGTACTTGAAACGTCAGAGATTTGTTATGAGCATTCGATGGACAACGGATACAAAAATCGCGATCACGATTCGCGATTCCAGTGTTTAATCATCGTTCCGACACGCTCGAAATTAGTCGACATTCGTTTTATCCTATCTCGGTTTCGAAATTGCGCGCACCAGGCTCGAAAATCAGTTCAAAATGACAGAATAACAAGATCGATTGCGAATTATCGCGCTGGCGAATCGACGATTCTCAATTAAAGCGTTCGAGCGATCTTTCAAGAACGATACACGAGATAAAAGCAAACGTAAAAATTCGCGGAACACCGGAGCTTCGATACCGAACGAAAATTAATTTAAATCGAAATAACTCGTGAAATAAAGGGAACGAGATTTTTAACTGTTTCGATGGAATTAAAAATCTAGTGTCAACACGCAACGAATTGATCGAACAAATGAAATTAACGTTAAATAATCGCCCGTAAGCGTACGCTCGAGATAAAATATATACTGGAAGTCGTGGGGGGGACAGCCATCCCATCGATCGTCATCGATATTTGCGTTACGGGGGCGGAATCTCGCTGTCGGTAATCCGCGGCGTTCGTAAAGTTATTAAATTTCCCCGTCGTCTCGGGGGCAACTTCCTGGAGAGCTCCCGCAGAAGTTCCCGGCTTCTTCATACGGAAAAACGAATTTCTCCCAACCTTGCCCCACTCCTCCTCCTCCCGTCCGCGGATAGAGAAGTCCAGAAATTTCAGACCGTTCTAAACCTGCGACGTGGGTAGGGTATTCGGAACGCAGGCAAAACTTCCTGTTTGCCCGAACTTTGCGAAATCTTCGCCCGGGACGAGGGTACACGAACCGCCTCGAGAACCGTGTACTCGACGAAAAGATAATAAACGGGCTAATCCGATCTTGGTCGCGTTACGACTTAAATTATGCTCCGTGGACGATTGTCTCCCGCGAAAACGTGCCCCATTAATATACATGATAATTATCATGTGTCGGTAATCGAAAAAAGAAAAAATGAAAAGTGTTATTTCAATGCACAGCCGAACTGGTCATATAAGAAATTTACTCGATTCAATAATAAGAGTCTTTTGATTATTTAAAATTTCCCAAGCAGTCAAAATTTCTGCTTTTGGACAATATAGGTAACTACAATGATTAATAAACGCATTTATATGTTGTACACAAAGTCACAAAATTCTAAGAAATTGTGTCATATACATAATTGTTTTTCTAATTGAAATTAAAAAGCAGTCAAAATAACTTTCTTGGGCAATCTAGTGTTAATATACATAATGACACCGCTAAATCAAATAAAAATAACCCTATGCAATGGTCGAATCGAAACAGACCCCAATTTTTGGCTATTTCTTTCTATCAGAAGGGGGGCAGATTGTGATCTTTCTTTTCTTTTGTTTACTGGTATCTTAATTCTCATATTTAAATGCTTGTTCCACTAATTTGAGAATTTCGAGGTTCTTTAAGTTTCAGAAGAATGATTAGAATCCTTATTTCTTATTTATCGTTGAAGTGTTTACGCAATTGTCTCGATTGGGGACTGAAGTTAAGCATCGTTGCGATTTGAAATTTGACGAAATCGTTATCTGCTTGCAGGCGGAGATCGAAAGTTGTGATATCCTCCGCGAAGCCTGAGGACAGTGGGAGATACGAGTGCGTAGCTGAGAGTACTTCCGGACATCGGGCCTCGCTCGCGGCCCAGCTTCTAGTCGCTCACGATACGAGAATTCCGGAAACGAGTAAGTCCTTAAGTAAATCGTACAGTCAAGGGGTTCGATTGATTCTTATTTATCATCGTAATGTGCATGTCCAGAGCGTGTTGCTCCGTCACTAATGATAATTATCACACACAGTCACCGACAAGTAAGCTTCCATCTCGTTTGTTCGAGAAAGTTACAGAAATTTTTTAGCACTCGATTCCTTTATCGTGCTAATTAAGAATATGTCGGCCACGATGTCGAACGCACACACGCGCAAAGCTCTTCTAATTAATGAAAACACGAATTCCCGGCAACCGTGGAACAAGATGGATTAAGCGCGAGCTTGTTTATAGATGCAACCGCGAATAGAAATTTACTACTCCGTTATCACGTGTGTCGAACCGAACTAGTCGAAATTCGTGAAAATAGGTGACCGAATCCGTGGAGCTGTTCCGGTACTCCAATTAACTTAACAGGAATTTAAATGGACCGACGGACTGCCCGTAAATTATTTCCCAAAACATTTGGAAACAAAACGAATCGATGTATTAATCGAAACGGACGTTATCCGCGTTTCGACAAAATTGAAAATTCTCTTACGAGAAAAGCTTCGAAAACTTCACGACGATCGATCGCGACAAATCGTATCGACGGATCTTTTGTCGCCCGCAAATCCACCGGGGGGAGGGGAGGAGGTGCTCTGAATATTCACGTCTTCTCGATATTCCGACGTCATCGTTTATTTTTCCGTCGGTTTCACGCGCGTTAGCGAAAATATTCGGGCGAGAATGATCTCGCCGGAGCGCGTCGAAGGCGCAAAGCACGACATTTCGGCGTTTCGCTATCAAAGGGAATTTTAGGATCGTTTGACGCGACCGGAAATTTAACAAGAGAGGCGCAACGTAAAGTTCGCTACGACGATCGAAAATCTGGGCTAGAAGGGCCGAAAACGTGAGCCATTAAAATCGACGTCGACGCGTCTCGTTCCGCTCGATCGCCAAATATGGAAACGGTTCAAAAAATGGATATTCGCGGATCGACGATTTTCAGAGGATTTCGATAACGAGAAATGGCGATCGCCAGGCCGAACGGAACCCCAAAACGGCTGGGTTTCCGGCGAACGTTGTTGTCGTAACTTCGACGGTGCGAAAAAACAGCGGGACGCGTTCCACGCGTCACGGAACGCAACACGCCGCCGCGACGCCCGTCGACCACCTGCGACTGTCTCGACGAGACCCCATTGTTCGCGAGAATAATCAGTTTTATTCGAACCGGGGAATTTTAATTCGATTTATTTCTACCACGCGAGACCCGCGAAAAATAAAAGAAACGCGCAGGATAATCTATTAATTAAAATAATTCAGTTAAGATTGAGCATCGAATTCCATTCGATTTATTTTCGACACAGACTCCAGTCGCAAGTTTCCCGAAAAAGGTATCATAGGGAAAGGGTGTGCAACACATTGCTACGCGACAGCAATAAGGCACCACGTTGTTTTGTTTGTTTACGAACGCTAATTCGAAGAACGTGCACGGGTTAACGATCGCGATAGTGTCGTTAAACGAATAAATAAGGGAAACAAGCGTGGTCAACGAGCCACGTAACCGTAACAAGTCACGCGTCGAATCGCGTGGGGGGTTAATATTCTGACCTTACCGAGTTTATGCAAATAGAAGCTGCAGGCTAACCGCCGTAGCAAGTGTCCCCGTAGTCTGGACTACAGTTTCCGCGAAATTTCACCGGTACATCGAGGATGAAATTCTCGTCCACTCGTGGAACAGACTTCGCGATCGGTTCACCGCCTTCCACGACCAAGTGTTTCGAAGTCGCCCGTCCGCACAAAGCGTGATTCCCGTTACACAATCCCCCTCGAGAACTTTGGTCAACGACTGACGCCATCTTTCGTGGGAATTTAAACTTTTCTTGCTATATTTGCTGCGGAGACCAGCGTTCAGTCGCTACGTATTCCAACCCCAAGATCCATGGTATAATTTGTATAAGGTTAGTATACATTTGGCCACTGGGAACCTTTCCAAATTTAGAAAATAGCAGCATGTTTTGCAACCTAGGCACTCGTCACCCCTTGCATCGACCTCGACTGTCACTTTCACCCTACTTTCTTCTCCAAAAATTCTAGAACTCTATCCTCCCGAGTCTCTCCATCGTCTAAAATATCCTAAGGTAACGAGGATATTGACTTCTCCCACATGTAATGTTAAAAGTGAAGATTATCATCGTAAACAGTTCGTTTCAGTATTAAAACCATAGAGAATCTAGAAAAGAGCTCCTTCAGCATACCCACTAACTGTAGAATGCGCATAGTCTCAGAACAGTGTATCTCGCCCAAGAAGTTCAACAGCTAGGAAATCGTTCGAACAGTGGTTCTAATATCGATCGTTGAACTTTGACAGGTTTACGGGTTTTCATAACACCTGCAACATTTGGTAGACGGCTTCCATCGACGTATTTATGTGTAGAACACGGTTGAAAAACGCGGGTCTCGCGTCTCGGTGGTTGCTTACGTTTCCACGGGCGAGGCTCCCCCGTTACGAACACGTAACTCACCACCGTTGCAATTTCGACCGCGATACGAGAGACCCGTTCGAAGGAATCGCCGTGGACCAGGAAATTCCTCTCGATTCCCGGGGAAAATACCGAGCGCAGCAGGAAACCGCTCTTCAGCGGCTCGACTGCTCGAGCCCCTCGGCCACAAAGAACCGCTTAAATGGCGGAACGCTCGAGAACCGAGGCAAAGGGGAAACAAAAGCCGCGAGGAAAGAAATTGTCCGACTGGGGTGTCGCGACTGGGCCGCCCACTATCCAATCTATTAGTTATAACAACGCGAACGGAAACGCGGTACAGAAAATCGTCGACTCGATCCTGGTTACGTCCAAAACAATTCCAAAAACGAGGCATACTTCATATTCAGGGGAAATTTTAATTCTCGAAAAACTACAGAATGCATTCTATATGCAAAAATATCAGAAATAAAGTAGAATACGAATTATTGTATTTACGAAGCTCCCATTTCATTCATTCTATTAACACGTTGACTGCCAAACCAAAACCGTTCAATTTTTTATGAGACAAAAAACATTGATTTTAGACAATTGCAAAGTACATAAATTAAAACTGATACCAGTATTTATTTTCGGGAGCTAACTAAAATTCATGAGTACTATTCAAATTTACTTCATTTTACATTTCGACCTGAAAATTAATTGTTTTGGTTACATAGTAAAAAATCCTGTCACCCATGTATGGACGACATGGCAGTCAATGTGTTAATATAAATATGGCCTGTTAACGATAGATATAATTGTGGACCATCGTTCCAACAGTGTCAACGAAATCTGAAAAATAGAAAGAATTAATTATAGAATTCAAAAGGTGGAGGAACGAGAGTAGCTAGGATAGTTCATTAACGATGTCGCGTGCGTTATTAGCCCTAAACGGGTAGTGTCGAGGGCCATAATTCGCGGCGTAAGAACAGGGAAAGGCAAGCAAACGGTAATCACGGGAAAGTGACGTTTTACGGTCCCGTAATCGGTGGATGATAAACCAAGGATTAAGCACCTGATGCGATAATGCAGGGCGCAGTTCAGCGAGGACCGGAAAGCTTGTGGTTCGCCGCCATCGCGGGGGTCTGTGAGCTCGTATGACGGACAAAGGGCGACAATTACAACCCTGGCAGCCACGTCAGGGTTTCATATAGCCCTGAACTGCTGATGGCGACTCGGCTGCCCGTTTCGGTACACACGCGTATGCGTTCGACCGTGTCGTAAATCCCGAAACGATAGACCGATGTTCCGGTTTACGCGGAAATTCTCCGCGTTTACGCTCGTTTGGGGGAAAACGATGGCTCGATGCTCCAAAGAAACACGGTAACCCGGTAAAAAAACACGCCAAATTTTCCCTTTGATGAACGCGGCTGATCTAAACAATCCACCACCCTCGACATTCCATTTTTTAAACGAGTCACAGCTGACTTCTGTTCGAATTATTTCGTCAATAATTTTCTTGAAACAATATCGTAGGTTGTAAATAAATCAAAGATCGTTGTAGAACTTCATTTCCTCGACCACCTATTACTAAATCAAACACACTTTCTTACGAAATAGATTTTGTCCTAAATAATCACTTTAAAACAATAATATCGTTGTTTTCCCTCAGAGGGTACATCGAAATTCTTTGCTGGATGTCCCTTCAGAGGAGACAGTCGAGTGCAAAGGGTTAGAATATTACAACGAACAAATGTGAAATCGACCTTTCAGACTTTCAAGCACACATTTGTCGAATAAAGTTAGGGATGATATGATAGGACGATTAGGAGTCTTTTAAACGATTCTCCAGATTGAAAAAAGGTTCGAAACTAGTGCGTCCTGATAGCGTGTGCGACCGTAGCCGCGATAAGACGGTTCGATGGGGAAAATATCATCGGTACGCGATGGTCTCGAGCGACTTTTATTTCCACCGGATGCACCTGGAGCGTCTCCTCGACTTGACCGTGACTTCTGGTTCCCCTATGGTTAGCGCTCGATTGCGGTAACAGATTGTGGTAATGTTTATACGCTTAGAGTTACTCGAAAGAGCGTACCGCCGCGGCTAGACTGCAATAACATTTACCACAAACTTTTACTACGGTCCCGAATGTTCGTGGTACGCTCCCTTACACCGTCGGCCGTGTGTTCTCCGGCGTGTGCTATGTTCTAACAATTGCCGTTGCACTCGCTACGGCACGCTTTACGGCCGCGGAGGTGTAACTTGATACAATAACGCGGGGGGTTACGCGTCGTTTGCCTCGCGAAAGAGCTGACTTACGCCGTGGCCGTGTTCCGCCATCTCCGTAAAGATCAATGAAAATTATGGTAGGACCAGACCGTCGGAGGTATTCTCCTAACGAACAACGTCGACGACGTCCCGAACAACCTCGTCGCGACGTTACGACGACGTTCCCGATGTTTCTCTCGTTCTAATTAATATTCGTGATACGCCAAGACAAGGTAAACGTAACGTGCAATGTCACGAGATCTCGCT